GAGAGAGGGAGAGAGGGAGAGAGGGAGAGAGGGAGAGAGGGAGAAAGGGAGAGAACAGACGGAAGGAGAGAGAGCAGAAAGAGAAGAAGAACACACAGAGGACCTGCCCGCTTTTTAGGCTGGGACACTGTCACAGGCTGGTGACGTAATTAAGGACAGAATCTTTACACATAGTCCTGCTAATGTGAAGGTCTAGACTTAACTTTACAGGCTCTATTTTAGGGAAGGGGCCACCATCTCAGACCACCCGCTGTACTCAGTTCTAGGAAGGACCTCAGGAATATGCCATGGTAACTTGAATGGATACAGAGCAGTATCCTCCTGCAGACATTGTGTCTGCTGTTTATACAGGAAAGGAAAGCTTAACAGGATCCTGTCTGTGATTTATAGCCCTTAGAGATATCTATATAATCCTGCTGAGCAGTCCAGAAAATCCTGTTCAGTGGGTTGTGGTTTTGCGCCCAAAGTCTAGACCAATAGTTTCAAAAAATCACCTTGCCCTTCTATCCAATTCCAAGTTGCCCATTCCTGGCTTGTGGTTTTTCCCTATAAAAACCTTCTACACCTAGGCTCATGGCCATCACCACATTTCCTTCTATCTACCATGTGGCGGCCCAGGTTGAACCTGAATAAAAGGACCCTTGTGTGCTTGCATCGGAAACCAGCTCCTTGGTGGTCTCTGGGGGTTTTGCGAAACGGGTACGACACTAATGACTAAACTCCTATGACTAGTCTCATCTTTGATCTGTTTCCTCATTCTCCATTCCCACTATGCTCTACTCCTGGCACTCAGAAAACACTACTGAGATCTGCTTACCCTCTATGGAACCTCTGTCTTCCTCCCTTTTCTCTTGATGTCATTTCTCCAGAAAATGCCTGTCCTCCTCCCCCCTGGCCACATGGTTCTCTGCCTCCTCAGGCAGGAATGTTCCTCCACCCTGACTTCCACCTTGATATGTAAAAACCTCTTTTGTTCTCAGTCAGTTGCTCTGGAGAGCCACTAGGCCTCACAATGAGGAGATGGTCTGAGCTTCATTTGCACAGGAAGCAAAGCTGCACATCTCCAGCCAGCTTGTCTCCCAGGCTCAGTGGGAGAGTTAGTAAGTTAGAAGGTCAGCAGGTCTGGAAATGTTTGGGTACACAAGAATTTCATCATGGGGGGAGATGGAACAGACAGGCCAAGGTGAGGAAGGGTAGCACCATAGCCCAGTTATCAGGGGGATTGTGGCTGGAGAACACACTCCTGGGTACTACCCTGTTGTGTGGAGACAGGCTGGTGATTGCTCTTGTAACTGGAGGTTTTGAGGGGGAAGGAAGTGTTGTGGCACATTTTAACAGGAATAGAGCCAGGCATGGGAAGGTTGAGAACATGGGAGCTCTTGTTATCCTCCGGCTCTGGGTTCTCAGGTGTCACTTCCCACTCTGATGACATTCTGCCTCCTACAAGGTTTCCTGAGAATGAGTGAAAGCACAGGCAGGTGGCTATTTACCAGAATTAGCGCCATGTATTCATGAGGTCCAAACAAAACAGAGCAACCAGCCTATAGCATGGATGGAGGCTTTGTGCAAATGTGGTGCCACCCAGTGCAGGATATAAATGCTGCAGCAAGGCCAGGAGCACAGAGGCATCATGGTGACCATGCAGCTGCTCCTGCTGACTGTGGCTCTGACCCTGCCCTCTGTGGAACAATCATCCTACAGGAATTTTCAATATGATGTCACTATTGATGAGGTGAGAGTGCTGGGCAGACAGAATGTGTACAGTTGGTTCCGATGGATTGAGTGAGAGTTTCTGGGCTGCTGATGAGAGCTGAAAGTGCACATCACTGAGAAGCTCTGTTTTTTTGACTCACTGTCCATCCTCCATCATGGCTTTCCTTGAGATCTGACATCAGGGATACCCAGATGCCAAATGGTGATTTGAGGATGCCTCTGTCTCATCATATGCCACAGAAACCCACTGCTTCCTCTGTCAGCCTGCAGTCTTCTAAAGCCTTCTAGAAATTCTACAGAAATGACTCTTTCCAGAGTTTCTATTTCTCAATGAAAGCCTCATGCAGGATGATGTATACAATGCAGGGCTGCTGTCTGCAGAGGGCTGAGTACTGCTGGGTAAAAGAATGGCTGGAGGGACTTCCTAAGATGTTTTGATGTTTAAATTGATGATGTGTTTTGAGAAGATAAGAGACTCTGGAGATGATCAGGTTTCCTCCCATACCCTGTCACTGATGGATAAAGATGCCCTTGTGGCTTCCCAATCTTCCATGGCCTCCTCATGGAAACTCAGTTGATGTGAAGGCAAGCACTCCCCATGGATGAAGCTGGTATCTGTGTACCCTGCCTCTCTCTGACAACAACAGCTTAATCTGGACCGACACTCCCTCTCAGTCTTAGAATGAAAGAATTGGACAACACTAGATCATGCTCTTAGCCTGGTGCTGTTTGGGATTTTTCTCTGTTGTTTATGTGGGATGTGTGCAGAAACCCTAGAATCAATCTGTAGCCTAAAGATTTCCTATGTCCCAGCCTGCCAGTGGTCGGGACAATTCTTTCCCACATGCATCCCCTAGTAAACACACAGAGGCTTATATTAATTATAACTGCATGACCATGGCTCAAGCCTTTTGCTAGCTAGCTCTGTATCTAAAATTAGCACATAACTATTAATCTATGCATCACCATATGTTCTGTGGCTTTATATGTGTCACATTACATGTTGCTCCCTAGGCAGCTCACTGGTATCCCTCCCTACCTTCTTCCTATCTCTCTCTTTGAATTTCCTACCTGCCTCTAAGCTGTCTTGCCATAGGCCAAACAGCTTTATTTATCAACCAATTAGAGCAACACATATTCGCAGTGTACAGAAAGACATTCTACAGCATCAGTCTGTCCCAGGAATGATATCTTCCACTCAAGGTCCCAGGACTATCTTGCCTACTCATGACAGAGAGGGGCTAACCATGACTAGGGCTCTTTTTGATGCTTCAATATATCATGTCCCTTCAAATGGTACAGGGACCTTACCCCAGGCTCTTGCTTCATCTCCTCCCATCTCAATTACTTCCTAGAACCACTTTGCTTAGCTTCCCCTTTCCATGCTTCCCCCTAATGGGTGGCTTTGCTCTCTAGCTTCTAGGAAAGTGGTACATAGTTGCCTGGGTAGGAAATGTGCCTATTCCTGAAAAGAAGAAGTTCAGCCCACTGCCACCCTTCACATTCGTCAAGAACATTATTGGAAAGTTGGAGTTCAGGATGAACATCTCGTGAGTACCTGCCCTCAGAGAGCCCTCTCTGCATGCAGCTGTATGGACTCACCACACTAACCATGTACATGCCCCAGACATCAGCTGGGCACTCAATATCAACATGGAATCCTCTTGTGTTGTCTGGATAATGGTTCAGGTGACTTTCGTAAGCACAGGAGAGATGTTCACAGGACACCAGATTCAAACAGAAGGTCCACTGCATAATATGCTATTCTCCTGTGACACTCCTGGAAGACTGAAGCTTTTCTTCCCTGTACTCCTGGAGCCAGTGTAGATGCTGTGCTTATTTCTGTGCAGGCTTAGAACCTCAGACCCCTCAAGATTTCACTGAGTTCCTTGTGCAGTGAGGAACCAGGGGTAGTGACAGCAGGTGCAGGAATCTGTCTTCGGGGGGGATACCTTTGGAGACGAAGTAGCAGAATAAGGGAAGGACTTGGCCTCCTGGGGAAAATAGATTGGGCTGGCAGGTATACTGTTCAGAACTGGGAAGACAGGCTGTCTTCAGATATGTACCATCTTGCTGTTGCTCCCATCTGCTGTGATGTAGAGCACACAAGAGGTTGTGGAAAGCCATGAACTGATGCTAGTCTAGCTGGTATATGTATCAGAAGGAGGGTTGGGGGTGTGTAGCTCAAATATAGCAACAGCAAGGACAGGGCTGATATCATGGAGAAGGCCATGCTTATGTCCTGTGTTACAGAAAACCCACTGGGTGTACTGAGATCAAGATCTGTATGGATAAAATTAGACATGAACCTGGTGTCTTCAAGATCTGTGAGTGCTTGGGTTTATGTTACTCCTTTTCTGGTGCCATTGCCCTTCAGCTACTTGATTTATTTTTCTCTACAGGGCCAGATCACCGCATCAAATTTGTGTTTGTGCGTGGCAAGGACTTTGCTATTGCCCTTTATGTGAACAATCAAAATAAGAAGATTATGACAATGCTCATGGGTACGTCTCACCCTGCCTAAGGTTGTGAGAGATGAGCATGGTTTTGGGGGGCAGTGTGTACAGAGTGAATCACAATCTCAGGCTCTCATGCTCTAGTCTCCAACTTGAGGTCTTTTCTGAGATGCTTGGGGTATTTGAGGGAGGGGATTGTAAGCTCTTGATGTGTCTTCAGCCCTCTCCAGATGGCTACTGAAACACTAGGCTCACAACCACACCCCACACACTGAGCCCTAGCTCCTCCCTTCCTTTCTCTGTCAGCCTTTTTCTCATCCTGTTCAAAGAAGAGATCTGCTTGGAATCATTTCCCATGGCGACACTGAGAATCATTTGGAGACAATGAGCTCTTGTCATGGTAACAGGTCCTGATCTGACAACCAGTCTGTGGAGGACAGAGTTGTACTCAACTCCTGTTGTACATAAATTGCCCCACTCTATCCAGACAGATACGAGGTACTGGAATCCACATTTATCATAACATCAAAAGAGAAGTGAGAGATAAATTGCTGAAGTAAGGTTTCATGTATAGTTTTAGTCAGTGCTAAGTAGAGAAAAATATTTTGTTATTCTCTTCTTCCTTCAGATTGTTTAAAATGCAAAGAGAAGCTTGAACAAGGCTTAGGAAGTCTCAGTGGTTAAGAGTTCTTGTTCTGCAAACATGAAGACCTGAATCTATGTCACAAGAGTTCACATAAATAGCTAGACATGGCTGAGCATGTCTGCAACCATTATTATGGAAGAGACAATGGGTCCTCAGAGTTGGCTAAGCAGACAATCAAGCCACATTGATGAAGGTCCAGATCAGTGAGTGACTGTGTCTCAAGGAAACAATGTTGAGAGCTGTGGAGGAAGATGATTGACATCCTACTCTGGTAACCATGGTTGCAAACAGACACACCAAA